GGACTTGCAGAAATGATTTGGTTTTTAACAGAATATCATGTATCCAATTTTTGCAGGTTATATTCCGAACTACTGCATTGATCCGTTCGTGGTCGCTACTCACCCCGACGGAGGCCAGGGAGCATTTGGTTACTGGATCTTTGCGCTGGGAGATGGTAGTTCGGAATATCTTCAACCGGTTTGGATGGCGGTCATGTAATAGGATAGGCATTTAGTTTACCTACCTAGCTTTAGCCAGCCGGTTGTGGCATTTGTTCATGGCTAGTTGGTGTTTCTAGCCACTTTTTAGCTCTGTGTGAGCTTTCTTTGATATTCATTACTTTTAGAGACTTTGAAACCTTGTTCGCACTTCTTTATTTGGTTAATAAGATAGCCGTATACATCATTCTGATGTAGAGATAGAGGAGTCCCCTTTTTCGAAAAAGAAAACACGATTCAAGTGTTTTGGGACCAACTTTTGTGCTAGGAACAACTCTCCGTCGAGGATGACATTTGCGGAGTGCTTCCGCGTGCGACCCAAGTCGCTACAGTTCCGCTTCATTTCGGTGGTGAAAATAATATTGGTTTTAATCAGCGATCTGTACATATTACTATTGCTTAAGTTAAACCTGGACAAAAGATTTGACTCTATCTTATATCAGGTTCATCAAAAAGTCAAGTAATTGGATCGTAGTTTTGGTCTGTGATTGACGTTCTTCTCGGTTGTCTCAGCTCCGGTGCGAGTCGTATGCTCGGTGCGCTCCTGAGGCATCTCGACTTCTCCATGTCGTATCCTAGAAAAGGCTCCATCACATTCCAGAGTACTCGCTGAGGTGCTGCTGGATACTGGATAAGGCCCACTAACACCAAAGCAGGAGAGTGCTCTAGAACACGGTAGCACCTTCATGGGCCGAAAATGGAAACAAGGAGAAGCTCCTGGAGCCAAACGCTCATCAAATGCAGAGTAGTCGAGATGCTTCAAGAGCAGCACCAGCGACGCTATATATCTGGCCTCCCATCGCCCTGTACCCCAACTCAAATCAGTTTCAAGCAAAAGCAGACAACATCCAACGATCCACAGAATTTTCCGAGCGCACAAGCCGAAGCAATCAACACCACGATGTCGATCGTGAGGCGGAGCAACGTGTTCGACCCCTTCGCCGACCTCTGGGCTGACCCCTTCGACACCTTCCGCTCCATCGTCCCGGCGATCTCAGGCGGCAGCAGCGAGACGGCCGCGTTCGCCAACGCCCGGGTGGACTGGAAGGAGACGCCCGAGGCGCACGTCTTCAAGGCCGACCTCCCCGGCGTGAAGAAGGAGGAGGTCAAGGTGGAGGTGGAGGACGGCAAAGTGCTCGTCGTCAGCGGCGAGCGCACAAAGGAGAAGGAGGACAAGAACGACAAGTGGCACCGCGTGGAGCGCAGCAGCGGCAAGTTCGTCAGGCGCTTCCGCCTCCCCGAGGACGCCAAGGTGGAGGAGGTGAAGGCCGGGCTGGAGAACGGCGTGCTCACCGTCACCGTGCCCAAGGCCGAGGTCAAGAAGCCTGAGGTGAAGGCCATCCAGATCTCCGGCTGAGTATTCGGGTCTGGTTCATGTGTGTGCGAGTTCTGCAACCTAAAAGTATGCTACAGTCGTGTCTTTGTTCTTGCCGAGTCTGACGAGCCATCTCTGTATTGCGTTTCTTTTCCCTGTCGTGTCTGTACTCCTTACTTGTGTAAGGCTGCTCATAGTGGAGACTAACTTAGACTAGTAACATGCATATGTTACTAGTCTATGTTACTATCTTCATAGTTGGTAGTATCATATACGTGGTAACATACATGTCTTCATTTATTACTTTGTAGACTTATTTTGCATTGGGAAGCGCTATGTGATGGTAACATATTATATTACTCTATTTGCCTTTCTCCTCATTAACTATTTGCCACCTCATTATTTTTGCTTATGTGGCACCTAAGTTACTACCTATGTTACTCCCACTATGACCAGCCTAATCGTCAACAGATTTGGCGATGAATAAATGAGAAGTAAATTGTTCTGATTTTGAGTGCAGTGCAGAATTTGCATACACAAAAATTGAATATTGTTTTTGCTTGTGTTTCGGATGGACACGGAAAACTTGGCCACTGACAGGCTTTCTTCTACACAAACATCTGCTTAAAGAATGATCGATACACTGAATGGTCTTCTGTCTCACATTCAGCTTTCATTAAGCGTGGGTCTACACTGATCAATACCCTGAATGCCCTGAATGTTGATTGTGTGACTTCTATCTCACCTTCAGTTTTCTTGGTTCTTTCTTGAGAAATACCTTCAGTTTTCTTTGATCTTTTTCCTTTGAAAAGTACATTTTTTTTGTACACACACCCATATCATCACACATATATTAACTCAAATGAAGTCCAAACTTAAGAATTATCCCGGCCAATGGGTTGAAAATCTACTACTCCCTCCGTTTCTATTTAGTCCACGTATTAACTTTAGTCAAAGTCAAGATTTATAAACTTCGAGGAAATTTATAAAAAATATATTAATATATACAACAACAAATCAATACCATCAAATATATTATTGAATGTACTTTCACATCATATAAATTTATTATAGAAAATGTTTGTACTTTATTTATAAACTTGGTGAAACTTTATGAAGTTTGACTTCAGTCAACTTTAATATGTGAAGTAAATAAAAACAGAGAAACTTCCAGTAATTTTTCTTAAGACAACCCTGCCCCCTCCCGCAAGCGTACTCGGGGGAAACCCTAGCGCGCCACCACTCGACTCCCCCAGCCTTTCTCCCTCACCGTCACCGCGATAAAGCCCAGCTGACGTTAGTGGCAGCAGGGATCTAACCTCTCTATTCGCAGTTGACGGCTGCCGCAGAACGACGCAGCGCCAGGAGGCGTTGGACTGTCGCAAGCCTGGCGGCACAACATCCACCCTGCTGGGTCGTGGCGGCTCTACCTGCCGGCGGTGCAATGGTGAACTGGCCCCTGGCGGCGATGCGGGGGCGAACTGGGCCCCTAACGGCGTGTGGCAGCTGCGGAGTAGCGGCCTCTTTAGGCGGTGACATGCGGGACGGACCAGACCAGATCAAGCGGATCTCGCGCCGGCGGCCTATCATGTAGAGGGGACTGCTTGCGGCCTGGGTCACAGGCGACCTGCTCTGACATCGCCGACGGCGGTGGATGATGAGCGTCCAGGTGGGCGAGTAGCGACGGCTTGCTTTTCTGTGCGTCGACGCAGGCTGTGGGTGGCATGGGCCACGAACGGCCACCCTGTAGTGGTAGGTGGTGGCAGTGGCGCGGTGGGGGACGGCCGTGATCTTCCCCTCCATTCGTCTGGTGCCTCGACCCGGCGCCTGGAGGCGAGCTCCATCGGTCAGTGGCAGTGGCTGATGCTCTAGCACCTTCGGCGGCCCGGTGGTGGTGGGAGCGAATCCGAGAGGGAGGCAGGGGCCCCCTGGCAGTCCCGTTGCTGAAATCTGGAGAAACCAAATTGGTCATGGCGGAGGTTTGGGTCTTCGGTGGTTGGGGTGGCTGCAGTTGGCGGCCGTCGTTCACTTCCCCTGCCTTGTACGGGCCGACTGGGCCCTGTCCTCACCAAGGAGCTAGTTGTGGGGCTCTTGGTGATGCCTTTTGTCACTTCACCAGTTGTTGGCGTCCGGATGCAATGGTGGCGGCGGAGGGAAGATCCGGGATGCCGGGGCAGCGACCCTTGGTGGTGGGAGCCACGATGCTCACGGGCGAAGCTCGCGGCTTAGGTGTGGACACAGCAATCATGGCAGTGTGGGTGACGTGGTGGTCGGTGTTTTAGGCGATCGTTCGTGGTCTTGGAGGCTGGGAGGCATGCTGGGTATAGATTCCTATCTGGCTTGTCTAGACAGTCGACGGCGGCATTCAAGGATGTCCATGAAGGCATCATCACTGCTACTCTCTTCAGATCGCTCCGTATGAAAACCATGATCCTTTGGATCGAGCGGCGACGGCGTTTTGGTGTCGTTGCTTTACTGAAGACTTCAGTGGAAACCATGATACACTTTACATACGCATCTCATTTCAAATTTTAAGAAAAGACAAAGTGGTTCGGCGTCCTATACCGTATCTTATATGATGTCATTTCAACATATTTAGTGATGCTCTTTTTAGTGTAAAAGCCGCAAACACTGAAGCATAACTCAAATATATAATTGCAAATTAGTCTGGTGTAGATGCTAGGCTGCCTTCGGCGACGCGCAACCGCAGACTCCGCCTGCGCCACCCGCCCTTGGCTTGGAGTCGAATGAAGCACTCAGGTTTGGCCAGTCCCGCTTGGAGAAGTTGGTTGCGTCTGATCGTAGGTCCTGGACCGATACAAGGCCTAAGCATCCGCAAGCGCAGGTCCGCGAGGACCCAGGCCGACATGCCGTCAAACTTCACGTACACCGCCCAACGCACCTTGTTGCGACGCTTCTAGTGCTCCGCCTCGTCGAGGCATTTCTTGGATGAGGATGAGGACGTGTCGCGACCACCGAGGTAGTAGTGGAGGCATGGGGGCGGCTTGGAGGATGCCTGGAAGAAGGGCTCTTCCTTATTCACGACGATCGGGCGCCACTGGCTGGCCGACTGCCAACACGACGGAGATGCCGACGCCTGCTCCTTGTGGCGGCCCGTGATATGGACGACGCGACTACCCAGCGAAGATGCCGTCTCCTCCTTCACGTGACGTCCGATTTGATTTGAGTGCCACGTTGGGGCTCGGTAGATGGCGACACCGGATTGCAGTTCGGTGTTGCGTGTTCTCGTTTATTTAGGATCAACTAATTCTAATCCTTACTTCCTAATGCATCAAACAAGAGATCAGAACAATTTAATATTTTTTATTAAAAGGGTATATTCTAATCTTCATCTTTTTTTGAAGGGTTCTAATCTCCATCTTTAATCCATCAAAATCTATATATACAAAAAATTGTGAGGTCTACCGAAGCAAAACTTTGTTTTCATTGTCAAAGAGTGCCAAAAAGGGCCTCGGCAACATTCTTTTCAACATTTGATGTTAGATAATCCGCTAGCATTTGACGCTACCGAGTGGTTAGTTGACTGGCTATGGAATCTATGGATGACCAAATCAGGTGAAAACTGCAGGCCATCCGTGAGCAAGTCTGCAAGTGCGCGTCCTCTTTCTAATAATTGTACCTTACTCCTATATATAAGTACTTCCTCCATTCCTAAATACGTATATGACCTTTTAGACATTCCACTATGAACTACTTCTTCCGTTTCAAAATAGATGACACAACTTTGTACCAACTTTGGAACGGAGGGAGTACATACGGATGAATATATACATACTTTAGAGTGTAGATTCACTCATTTTGCTTCGTATGTAGTCTATAGTGGAATCTCTAAAGGGTCTTATATTTAGAAACGGAGGAAGTACATTACTACTCCTATATATAAGTACAGTGTGATTACTTATAATATGAATGTTGATCAGTTCAACTTCTGAATTCAATCTTTTCGTCAACTTGAACTGACTATATGTATATTACAGTGCCTATCCTGGAATTTGCTCCTAGTACATACACCTACCATTTGAATCATTGCCAAGCTCAGAAATGCAGAGTTACTGCAACCATGAGCCTGTACTTATTAGTAAGATTAATCACCTCATTAGCAAACTCTATGCTATATACAACTCATCCGATCGACAGGGCGGCCTTATTTCTTCAGAATCAATACAAAGCACATCATAACCCGCTAGCATTCGATGCTACCGAGTGGTTAGTTGACTGGCTATGGAATCTATGGATGACCGAGTCAGGCGAAAACTGCAGGTCATTCGTGAGCAAGTGCGCGTCCTCTTTCTGAGAAGCCTTCTTTTTCATGCTCTTAGATTGATAGTCTCCGTCCCTGACGCAAGTCAGGATCTCCACCACCTCCTTGATCGACGGCCTCAGGTCCCTCTCCATCTGCAGGCACTGGAAGGCCACCTCGGCCACGCGGTCGATCGTCCTCTTCGTTTCGGGATCGGTGTCATAGCCGAGCTCCGGATCAACCAGCTGAACAACTTCATGGTTTTGAATCCTGTTGAGAGCCATGTTGGCCAGGTTGATCTCACTGTGGCTCCTGCTCATGTCCACAGCAGGCTTTGAGGATATCAGCTCCACCAACACGACACCAAAGCTGTAGACGTCGCTCTTGTCGGTCAGCTTGTAGCACTGGTGGTACACAGGGTCGACGTAGCCCGGTGTGCCCTGTGGAACAGTCGAGACATGGGTGACCTCGAGCGGGAACAGGCGTGACAGCCCAAAGTCTGCAACTTTGACATGGAAGTTATTGTCCAGTAATATGTTGGTTGTCTTCACATCCCTGTGTATGATCTCGACTGCATGGAGGTAGGCCAGTGCTTCAGCCGTTTCTATGGCAATGTTCAGCCTCAGAGGCCATGTGAGGCCTTGTTCCGCCGAACGGGATCCATGAAGATGGTCCGCGACGGTCCCATTTGCGATGAACTCGTACACCAGGAGAAGGTCACGGCTCATCCGAGACGTGCAGCCATATAGGATGACAAGGTTCTGGTGGAGCAGGCGGGATAGGATGTCAACCTCATTCAGGAATTGCTCAACCCGTCTGTAGTTGTTCTTGTAAAGGCGTTTCACCGCAACTACTCTCCCATCCTTGAGTTTTCCTGAATGACAAAATGTTCAAAGTTGTCATTGCCAAGTGAATTAAGGGCAAGATAATTTTATCAGAGAATACACTTGAGAACAGAGCTCCTAGCATCTGTAATTTACGTATAAGATTGAGAAGCAACGAGTTTCTGAAAACATGTGTTTTACCTTTATAAACAGTTCCAAAGCCACCATCACCAAGCTCCCTTGAAGCACTAAATCCATCAGTAGCCACTTCGAGTTCCTCAAAAGTGAAGATATGAGGAGAACCACCCAGCTCAAGGTCTTTACTGTATGTCGTCATTGAAGATCCACTTCGCATGAACTCATTTGAAGCCATAGCTTTTTTCTTCCTCCTTCGTTGGTGCAAGACATAGATGACGAACACCATTAGTGCAAGAGCAGCGCCTAGTGATCCAACTGTTCACAACAAATATAACGCATTAGCAACATGAAGCAACCAAGGGATCTGATTAATTCTTCATCACGAGATTTCACCCCCTTATTCTCCATATTCTGGTACAATATGGAGCACAGGAAATAAGAACCGAAGGAATAGATGGGCCGAACAGCTTCAGAGTTGATTGACACTCACCTACTATGAAAACTGTTTTCGTCCTTTTACTGTCCCCTGCATAAGAAGAGTCTGTAAATATCTTTGCAGTTTATGAAGAAATAAACAAGTATGAGTAATCACTTGACAAATGAAAAGAGCATTATGTAGGATGACTTGGTATTGTCATGATAATTTTGCGAGGTTCTACATAAAGTCGAACTCCCTTTTGTGACTGTTTAATGAGGAAAATCCAGCAACAGCTGAATTTCAGACTCACAACTGAAGGTAGCAATGTATACTAAGAAAAAATTCATAGAAGCCACAATCATGATACTTAGATCCTAAAAGTGACACCAGAAATAACGGATTCATACATTTGGCAGTAGGTCAAAATCTATAAAAAAAAAGCAACTGTGCCATCATAGTTTTCAAGAAAACAAACAGAGTTGAATAGATAGTTCCATTGAAGCTAGCTTGGTGCCTTGCTACAGAGAAATTTTAAATGGAATGCTGTAAGCTGCCATAATGATTGGCATCGCCCCACTATTCTGCACTCATTAAGCAGTGTTAACACCCAATTACCATGTGCATCAGCACCGCTAAGTATCAACTGAAACTAACCACAGTGCCCGATTCAACTTTACACCCCTAATTCCACAACAAACAGTTGCAACAACTCTGACTTCCACATGTTTGAAAAACGGGCCAGGGCACAGAAAAGTAAGCGCATCGATCGGCAATTACGGGGAATAGTCTGTTTGGAACCGTCAGTACGGCATCTTTGTTGAATAGCGTTGTTGACTAATTCAACATATGCATTTGACTAGGAACCCATAGGCTCCAATCATCCAACGTCTCAATCAATGGGCTAACTTCATCACTAACTACCAGAAACAAAATAGTAGTCTGCAGGAGCTCCAAGAAACCAAGCAAGCACTCTTTTTTTCCCGCAAAAAAGAGAGTTGAAAGAACAACAAAATATCAGTGTCCAATCAGCATTCTATGTTCCTCCTACCAACAGCGACGTAAAACGCAGTAAATCTGTTCTTGACAGCGATTCAATGGCAGATGGCAGTGTCAAAATTGCTACCTACGTCAGGCATTTTGGGAGTCACTGAATCGGTCGCTAGCACTTGAAGTTTTGAGGGGATTAGCTTGATCAAAGAACTACTTAGTTATTGACTAGGGAAATTCATGGTGGCGGTGTCAGTTAATTTTCGTCAACTCACCGCACATCTCAGGGTACACGTCGCCGGAGCAATGGCAGGAAAACCCGGTGCCGTCATTGGCGTACCTGCACTGACCGCCGCTTGCCTCGCACTTGGGGCAATTATCCGACGGCACCGTCCACTCAAGCAGGAACCCTTGCTTCATGCTCCGGACGTAGTCGTCGCCGCCCGGAAAACCAAGAACCGGCACGACGGAGAGACGGCAGGCCGGCAGGACGGGTTCTCGGTGACTGCCGTACTCCCCGCCAAGGCGGATGAAAGACTCGTTGGCGCAACCCGTGCGGTTGAACCCTGGCGGCGTCACCTTCTGCTCCGTGCACTTGTCGAGGACGAGCAGCTCCTTGTTCCTCTTGCTGATGACGAACGGACTCAACCCGAGACCCAGCGAGATGTTGAACCAAAACTTGGGGCAGCCGTCGTGGAGCGGCAGGTTCCTGTCCACGGCGAGGAAGGAGGAGTTCTCGGCGAAGACTTGAACGACCTGGTAGGCCCCGAGTATGGAGCGGCTGAGGAGAGCTTGGCTGCCGTTGCAGTTGAGCTGGAAGGACGGGGAGCCGCAGGGCGGCCGGCCGGGCTCCTCCAGCCAGAACGGGTAACTGATGTTCAGGTCGCCGCATTTCTTGGGCGAGCAGGCCGCAGCGGCCGGTGCCGGCAGCTCGAGAATGGAAGCGACGAGCAGGAGCAGGAGGAGAGGGGGCTGGAGCGGCGGCATGGATTGTGGTGGGGATGGCTGACTGACCGGAGCTGGCGAGGACTAGTTAACGGGACAGAATGGAGGGTGGGATGTGCGACTTGGGGAACAAGGACGGTGGCCAGAGCGGCTTGACCGGTCAGAGTCAACGCTCTATTTCTTTCCCATTTCCGTTTTTTAATCAGTGTCCCTTAGATTTCGGGTAAGCCGTTGGACAGCGGCAATGCCGCGGCGGCGGCCAAGTAGCGCCAACCATGGCCCGCCACGGCGACGGCTTGCCAACCCGCCATTAATTTTGCATGGCCCGCTAGAGAAGGGAAGCTGAGGCCAGATTGTTTGTTTCCTAGGAACTCGATAGAAAATGATTAATTCAACGACTGAACTCACCGCTACCGGCAGCACTCGGCGGCCGCCATGTGAGGATGAATCCATCGCTGATGAGCTCTATGTAGTCGCTGGCATTCACCTTCCCAGCCGCCCCAAGCACCGGCACGGCGGTGACGTTGCAGCCCGGTAAATGGTAGCTGCCGGCGATCACGCCCGTCGCGTTGTAACGCCCCCCTGTGCGGACAAAGGTGTTGTTCCGGCACACCGTCGCCGCCAGCCCCGCTCGGCGCACCGTCTCCGGCGACGGTGCCCCGGCGCAGTTGTAGAAGATGAGGTTCCGGTTGAGGCCGCTCATGGAGAACGGAGGGCCGATTTTGCTGGCGGTGTTGGCCTTGGGCACGTGGCATCCTCCCTCGCCGGTGAGATTGAAGTCGCCGAGCTTGTGGACGTCGGAGACGAGCAGGGAATCATTGTTGTAGAATATGTTGAGGATCTGCACACCGAACCCGCGCTCGTAGTACCCGAGGTAGGGGACACCGTCGGTGCAGTGGACCTGGAACCCAAACTGCGCGCACTGGTTCTCCTCATAGCCCGAGACGACCCCGAACGGGGCTGAGACGGTCACGTTGCCGCACCGCTCCGGCTCGCAGGCCGCCGCCGCCGCGACGAGCATCCGTGCCGGCATCGTGGAAGCGACGATGACAACGACGACAACGGAGACGAAGAGGCAAGGCCCAAGGCGCCATGGGAACATGCGAGGGAGGATGATTCTGGTAGATGGCTTAGGTGAGTAGCAGGATAGGTAATTCTTTGGGCACACAAGGTGGATGGAGGAGGATATAGAATTGTATCAACTGAGATACTCATCGTACCTACCTACTACGTATATGGACATCCATCAGGGAAGGGGGGGTCAGTGAGTGATCAGCCGGAACATTTGACCGCTGCAACGAACGTCCACACACGCGCATTTCAGTCATCCCATGTCGTGGTCGAGCAGTGAGGCGACTGGACCGGATAAGGTGCGAGCCCGGGCTCCTCATGTCGATCGGCTGCGGCTAGTGCACGCTCTTGTCGGCCATGGACCCATGGCTGGGTTGGATGGATGCTTATGTGAGGACTGGTAACAGGAGCCGTGAACCGGTGAAATGTAAGCGCAGACTAGTATACTAAGTGTGCATGCTGGCCATAGGTGCTGACAGTTCTGACACGAATTTTCCACACAATGGCGTGTGCTCGTTACCAGCTTACAGCAAACTAAGTACTCCCTCCGTTTTTATTTAGTCCGCATATTAGCTTTGGTCAAAGTCAAGCTTTGTAAACTTTGATTAAGTTTATAAATAAAAATATTAATATATAAATAACAAATCAATACTATTAGATTCATTGTTGAATGTACCAACACATCATATAGATTTCTTATGGTAAATGCTTATAATTTTTTCTATAAAGTTGGTCAAACTTTATAAAACTTGACTTCAGTCAAACCTAATATGCAGACTAAATAAAAACAGAGGAAGTATAATGTTTAACATGTTTTTCAAAATAAGTAGTACTATTTTTCACTAGAAGACGGCCGAATCGTGTATGAACTTTTTCGAAACCACTGTCAGCCAGTGCCGACTTCAGAGCTGAGAGTTCAAACTGGGCTGATCCAGTCTTGGGCCGTACGCCAAGTCTAGCAGTACCTTCCTTTCGGTCCGCTCTTGTGCTAATGAACATCTACTGACGCAAACTAGCACCCACTTGTGCTAATCGAACGGCCGAAGCTTCGTGGCAGTACTAATGAGTCGTACCAGTACGGTCCTAGTGCAGTGGTTGCCGGCGAGAGAAAGAACTCTTTGTTTGCATAAAGGGGAAAAGGCACCAGGGCTGTGAACTGAGAGCGAGAAAAATCGATCTGGCTACGTGGGCAGACGCAGACCCACAGATAGTAGAAAGATCTCCCAGGTAAAAAGAAAAAGTAGCCGGAGCTTTTCTTTGTGAAATCCACGCGTCAAGGAGTTTACAGGATAGAAAGATAGACAGGCACTGCCGCCCAACTCATGAGAAACTAACGGCGGCGCTACACGTTTACCCGACCATCACTCGTGGCCACAACGAGGTCATGCAGCTACCGCACGCAAGGATGAAATGCACCAACACGACAGACAGCCTACGGAAGATAAAAAGGGTACCAGCACTAACTTGCGCAATGCCAACATGATTGCCGGCCAAGATGCATTGCACCGGAGAAAATCTAGCTAGAACAAGCATGTGTTGCCAGGACGTGCCAACTTGGCTATGGTCAAGTGGGCGCACGCACTGATCGAGCAGGGAGGTGGAAGTGCCGCGGTGGCCACATCCATCCGCCGCCACAGCTGGGCACGACGACTACGGGTCCGCGCCGCCCTTATCCTCAAATAAGAGGTCGAGTAGGCATGATTGATAGCTTGGTTCGATGAGGCAAATCCAAGTAAAGATGCTGCACCTACTACCTTAGCCACGCGAACTTGGTTAAAAGATGATTTGGCTAGCCAACTTACCTGGAGGTGGAGGTGGAGGCGGAGGTGCAGGTGTAGGCGTAGGGAGAGGTGAAGGTGCAGGCGGCGGACCCCATGTCAAGAGGAACCCATCGGCGATGAGCTGCTCGTAGTCGCTCGCGTTCGTCTTGCCTGACGACGAGCCCATCACGGGGACGGCAGAAGTGTCGCAACCCTCCATAGGGTAGCCGCCGTAGTCTCTGGTCTCGTCGTAATAACGGCCGCCCACGCGGGCAAACACCACGTTGTCGTTCCCGCACCGCATCCTCGTCCGCACCAGCTCCCTGTCCCGACGTGCCGTGGCCGCTGCTGCGCCCTTCTCCGTGCAGTTGTACAGTATGAGGTTCAGATGGCCGGCGCATATGCTGAACGGGACGCCGAGTTTGGCGGAGGTGTTCCAGATCTGTATTCCGCAGCTGTTGCGGGCTTGCAGCAAGTACAGCTTGCCTCCATCGGCGACGTGCAACCTCCGTTCCTCATAGGAGATGTCGACGATACCAAAACCAAAGCCTGTGGGCATAGAGCTCCGTAAAACTGGAGTGTTGTTAAAGCAAGTGACCTCGAAATCTGAGGAACCACACGCTCGCTCCGCAAAGTTATTCCTGACCCATAATGGGTCGGAGATGGTGAGGTTGCCGCATCTCTTGGCCAAGCCCGAGCAGCCTGCTTCCACCTGCTGCACAGCCGCCACGACCACGAGCACCAATGGTAGCCAGAGGGCCAAGAAGAACCAGCAGCTCGGAGCCATAGGTGTAGAAGATTTGGGAAGATTAGAGTGAACAGCAAAAGAGGTCCGTGGCTGGAAGGGTGGTCATAGGCTACAGGTATGAGAGAATACGGTTGGTCGGAGCACGAACGATATATGGCGACGGACGGCGAGTGAGCGGACAACATTAGATTGGAAAATTGGGGCAAATGATCGTCATCCACAAAATATACCCCGAGTGAACACATGGCCTAGTATAGCCATGACTTATCAAACTTCAGGGTTCCCCTTTGACGAGGTAAGCCATGATCATGACCTCCTTTGAACCAGTGATGTGACTTCCGAACCAGGATGCTTCGGCAGGTTCTTTCCGGTTCCGACTACTTCAGGCTCTTGTCTGCTATCTAACCAGGTTATAATCCTGGTACAACCTTCACACTTGGGCTGGTATAGAACCATTAATTTTGCAATTCACACTTGCCTGGTACCTACTATTAATCTTGTCTCACAAGGCCTTATAAACCAGCCAATTGTGTAGGACTTATAGACTGAGTTTTTTTCTCCTATGAACCTGATAAGTTTCAAAACCGTCTGAGTTAACACAAGATTAATTGGCATTATAAACCCGGGCAGCGGGAATAATAACAAGTATCCAATGAATAAAGCCTTTTAACCTACAGTTGCATATTTAAAAATTTAAACACAATTTGTTTTTATAATGTTAGACTTTGTGATGTGCGATATAGCCAGCATAGGAAAAAACAACTTCTTAGCCAAGTTACAAATAGCAAATCCATGGAATGATTTGGGCCTTTTTGATCCAAATGAATTACAATGGATTGTGTATAACTTCAGTCTTCAGAATTCTTTCTATAGGACATGCTCGAATCTAAAGATTATAACCCTTATAATTTTTTCTACTCATTGCCTTGTGCCCCAATTCCCAAGAAAAATCCTCCTTGCATTGACTTGTTATAAGGTTTTACTGTTTTTTTCTTCACAAAAGGACGTTAAATAAACTATCAGGGTATGCACAATCAATGCACACTACCATGCTGCAAGAAAATTCTAAGTCCATGTGATGTAACAAAACAACTCTTATTTCTGTGGTTACATTTAAGAGCCCCCGAAACACAAATGGATTGGCGGTCCGCGACCAAGGACAGAAAACAGTGTCACAGGTGACCCTTGCCAACAGATTCCCTTCACTATCGCACGGCAATCCCTACCGTACAATTGCACCGTAGACCCAGACTTCACGAAAAATCCTAGTCCTGCCTTAGGTTGGAGTGAAGAACGGGCACAGATGGCATGCAAATATGAGTTATTCTTTTTTTTATAGTCATTTTCTGCATTGTTATCTTTCTTTTTTGTTTTCTTTTTTGCAGGAATACCTTTCTGTTTTCATATTCACCCTTTTTCCTTTTTTCTTTTACATTTACTTCTAGTTTTCTCTCTTATTTATTTGTCTTTCTTATTTATTTCCATTTCTTTCTTAAAAGTACCGTCTTACTATATGGATTTAGTTATTTGTTTATTTTTTACTTTCTTACTCTCCTTGTTTTCAAATAGATAGATACTTGTTCTGAAATGCATGTGCATCTCTTTTGAGATACATTATCAATTTCTTATAGGCATGAACAATTATTTCCAAATATTCTGAAATTTTAAAGTTAGTTTAAAAGGTTGGTTTAAGTATGACATAAGTATATTTTTATACACAAACATCCAACATCTCCTTTTGATGTATTTTTGTATGTTATTTCATAAAAATGGTTTCCAAGAGTAAAAAAATTAAATATAGAAGTGTATCATTTTTATAAAAATAAAGTTGTATTAGTAGGCTGCATAACAGCCGCCAGAAAAAAATATAGGCCGGAGCTCCATGACTAGACCAAAATTGCCCTAGAAAAAAATATAGGCCCACTAGTCCGAGCTTTCCATAAAGTCTACTATTTGCCGGTGGGCTGTTAGTGGATCAGTTAACAAGTAGTCCATGATGTCAATATTGGCCGTCGTCCAGACTTCAGAAGTTCATCCCCTCAAAAGAAAAAGAAAAAACATTTGAGAAGTTCAGAGTTCAGTCAGACTAGGCATAAGCCGAGAAGCCACTTACTATTCTGTACCATACCCCAGTTGAATGAACATCTAATGGTCCGCACGGCTACGTACGAACCTACTGAGAGCACTGGTTGACATAGCTAGGAATTCGATTAAAAGATTATTTGACGGGGTGAACTGAACTTACGTGCAGGGTGAGGAGGGGGCAGCTCCCATGTCAGGAGGAAGCCATCCCTCATGAGCTGTTCGTAGTCGCTCGCGCTCGCCCCCGCGGACGAGCCCGGCACCGGCACGATGACGGCGTCGCAGCCCTCCAAAGCGTAGCTGCTGTAGTTCCCGGTTGGGTCGTACTGCACTCCCGCACGAACAAGCACCGTTCACTCGTTCTCGCACCTCACTCTCGTCTCCACCAGTTCTGTGTCCTGACGTGCCGCGGCTGCTGCTCCGTCCTCCTCCGTGCAGTTGTACAGGATGAGGTGCAGGTTGACGGAGGCGATCCTGAACGGGCCGTTCAGTTTGACTGAGGTGTTATAGAACACCCCACGGCACTTGTTGGTGGTGTTCAACACGCCCAGCTTGCCCATATCAACTGCATAGAAGCTGCGTTGCTTGTAGGAGATATTGAGGATTTCAAAGCCCTGGTTGAGTGGTATGGAGCTCCGTAGAGCTGGAATACTGTTGTTGATACAAGCGACATCGAAGTCCGGGTAGGGATCAGGACCGCATGATCTTCCCGTCTCTCTGTCGGTGAGCGAGAACGGATGCAAGATGCTGACGTTGCCGCACTTCATGGTCGAGCAGTCTCCCCCCTGCTGGTCCTCGGCCAACACGAGCATCGGCGGCAGCCACCACACACCGATGAAGAATAAGAACCAACAACAGCTGGGAGACATCCGAGCAAAAGATTTGGAGAGATTGCAGTGGATAGCAAAGGGTGGTACCTGGATTTGCTGGTCAGGGGCTATGGCTGTGGGAAGGTAGACTACACGTATAAGAGATAATGCCGTGGTGGAAGCACGAACCATATATATATGGGGACCTCGAACGAGCAGAGTATTATTGGTCATTTGACTGGAAATTTGGGACAAGCGATCATCGTCCAGGAAGTTTCCCAATAGACACCATGGACTAGTAAGCCATGACTTAATCAAATCTGTAGGTAAGGTATGCCATGACCTCCGTGAGCCCATGATATCACTAGAACCAGGACCAGGATATTTTGTGCTCTTCTTTAGACATTTATCTAATCTAATGAAAAGAACTTCTAACCTTCGCTTGCACATTTCTACATCTAGACACTGTATAATGTGCGACCTGGCCTGCGTATGAAAACCAACTTAGAGATAGCAAATCCATAGAATGATCATGGTCTTTTTTATTCAAATCACTTACAATGGGTTTTGTTTTCATATTAATCCTTTTTACTTACCTTTTGTTTTCATATTAATAATTTTACATTTTCACCTTTTACTTTTGATATTTTTGTTATTTGCTTATTTCTTCACTTTTTAGGTCAATTTTTAAAATTACTGACTTACTATATGAATTTATTTATATGTATATTTATTTGATTTTTACTGCACTTTTGTAGTAAATATATATTATATATACACTTCCTTTTGAAGTCTTGAACCCTTTTCTTCAACATGAATATTTGTTCTGAAATGTATGAACAACTCTTTTGACATACATGACCATTTTTCTTATAATTATGAATAACTATTTTCAAATATATGGACATTATTTAATTAGTATAAAAATTAGGTGTACATATGAAACGAAATTATTTTACATGAATATTCGACATATTCTCTTGATGTATTAAAATGACTTTTTATAAGTCATTGCATTAAAAAGACAGTATTTTTTTTAAATATAGAAGTGTACCACATAGGCGCACTTGCTAAAAAACCATAGGCCCACTAACAAGCGTTGCTAAAAAAAACTAATGAGCAAAGCACCGTGGTTAGGCCGAAATTGCCCAAGAAAAATAAACATAGGCCCACTAGTCCAAGTTTCACAGTCTGTTTTCCACTGGGCTGTCAAGAGGATGAGTGAACAAGCCCGCGATGCCTATGTTGGCCGTGCTGCAGAGTCGAGCAGTTCAGAGTTCAGTCACCGTGACTAGGCACAAGTTCTGTCAGAGGACTTTGTTCTGAACCATACCCCAGTTCAACTGGTTAACGAATGCCTAATGACGTACCTAGTGAGAGCACTGAGCTAACATGATTGATTGCTTGCTTCGATTAGGGAAATCCAAGCAAATTAGGGACTGCGGCTAGCCGAACTAGAATAAAAGATGATTTGACTGGGTGAACTTACCTGGAGGATGAGGAGGGGGCAGTTCCCATTTCAGGAGGAAGCCACTTTGGATGAGCCGCTCGTAGTGGCTCGCGTTCGTCTTGCCAGACGGCAAGCCCAGCACCGGCAAGACGATTGGATCGCAGCCCTCCAAAGCATAGCCGGAGTAGTTCCCGGTGCGGTCGTATGGCACTCCCGCGCGAACAAACGTGTTGCTCGTGTTCACGCACCTCATCGTCTTCGCCTGCACCAGTTCTTTTTCCCGGCGTGCCGCCGCCGCGGCCTTCTTTGTGCAGTTGTACAAGATGAGTTCCAGGTTGACGGGGGAGATCTTAAACTGGCGGCCCAGTTTGGCAGAGGTGTTCCAGATCGGCAAGCAGCTGTTGAAGATGCTGGGTGGGTCATGTAATAATTGCAGCTTGCGCAGATCAACGACGCGCAAGCTGCGTTCCTTATAGGACATGTCCATGATTGCAAAGCCGGCGTTGTTGGGCACGGAGCTCGGTAGAAGTGGATGAGTGCTGTTATAGCATGTAAGCTCGAATTCCGGCGGTCCAGGTGAACCACATAATCTTCCCGTGTCCCAATCAGTGAGCCAGAACGGGTGGGAGATGGTGAGGTTGCCGCACTTGGCCGAGCAGCCTTGCACCTGCTGCTCCTCAGCCGCCACGAGCACCAGTGGTAGCCACCAAACCCAGGCGAAGGCGAGGAACCAGCAGCTCGGAGACATGGGCGTAGAAGATTTCAAAGATTGCAGTGCGCACCAAAGGGGATGCATGACTGGGCTACGGGAGATAGGCTACGCGTAAAGATAGAATAGCGTGGTCGAAGCACGAACCATATAAGGGGACGACAAGCAAGACGGAACATTTGACTGGAAAGTTTCTCCAAGCGATCGTCCTCCACGAAATTCCCCAATTGACTGACCCCTTAGACTGGAAAGCAATGACTTATAAACCTGAGGCCTTGAGAGTTACCCCCTTGGCCCGTAAGCCATGACCATGACCAGAGAGACCCCGTGATGTGACTTGAACCAGGATGCTTATTAGGTACGCTGGTTCTGTCGGTTCCTGGTACTCCATGCTCTTGTTCTACGGCATTCACACTTGACAGGTAACTATCCGTAGGAATGAAGATCCTTGTACTGATTGGCTATTGGGGTTGCGCATTTTAGAAATTGAGTGCAATTTTCCTGTCTGTGCAGGGGAGACGTCGTCCGTTCAAACCTAGAGCTCACACATTTTACTTTGCGTCATTTTAGCCTCTGTAACGTGCAACTTGGCAAAGTTCTAAATAGTGGTTTTTCCAAGGACTTGAAAGCATTAAACCCATTTCCAAACTGATTCTTTACAACGTCTTTTTAATATATATTTTTAAGCAACGAGCCTTCTCATGGATTTTCATTATAGAAACCGCCATAACTTTTTAATCCTGTTAAGAAACCAACTATCCAGTGCAACGAGCCTCAAATAAGACTCAAAGATGACACTCGGATAAAAGTACGAGCGAGGATGTGGGTTTATGTATTTGCCTAGGTGACCCAAAACAAGGTTCACAGGCTATGCTGACAAACCCTATTCGACGCCCATTAAAATGTCGGCATAACACAAAAGAGGATGCATAATTGGGTCTAGCACATCTCCTGGTTCGGTCAGTTTTATGTTTTGTTCTTTTCTTTTCATTTTTTGGGAATTTCCTCTGGTTTTCTGTTTTTCTTGTTTCCCATGTTTTTAGGTGGTATTTATTTTTTCTAATTTTCCTTTTTGTATCAGTTTTATATTTATTTTATACATATTTCCTCTTTTGATTATTTTTCTTCGGTTCATTAAAAATTATGAAAACTCTTTAAACATCTGAATATAATTTTCTCCATATGTGAAAAAATAAAATATGTGATGAACATTTTATTTCACATATACAATTTAAAAAAAATCCATGGATTTTTTATAGATGAATACAATTGTTTGTATGAATGAACATATCTTTCATTTCCCACAATCTCTTGTGCACTTCTTAAAACTGATATTTTGACAACATTTTGAAATCTTATTAAGAAGAATACATTTTTCGCAAAAAGAAACACGGGCTAACATGGGTTGTGGCAACAGCTGGCCCAAATAGCTGCTCGTGGTCGTTTGTCCACCTATTTGACGCCTAAGAACTCCGCTACGCCAGACAGAATTCCACTGTTGTGGGCCAACGCACTGTAATCCAACGGGCTTTAGCTACATGTCAGTCAGCTGAATTTTGATTTCGAGTCAGTCGATTTTGAATGAAGGACGGAGAAGGAAGGGCCTCGTCGGAGAGAAGGAAGGGGCTCGCCGTCAGCACCCTATTATCTATCTTAGGATTCAAGGTGGTTCAGGGGAGGGCGGGGCGGCGAGGCGGTCGCAGGAACGCCGCCGGCCGCGGGGGGCGGGGGCCGGTGGAAGCTGGCGGCTCGGTGGTCAAATTTGATGTTGAAGAGAAACAGTGCATGCTCAGAGGTTGAAGATAAAGTTGTGGACGTTGGATCTTGATCCAACGGTTGAAATAGAAAATTGGAAATCGACTGACCCTTTAAATTTTTTGACTGTCTTGTAGCCACTCCCAATCCAACCATCCAAACGTTCCAAATAATTAATACGTTGTCTGAAGCTGAAAGTGTGACTGTGTCTCAAAAAGGAAAATTCTGAAAGTGTGACTGGTCTCTGACTGGATTACTGAACAAGTGCGTGATGCCAATTTTGGCTGTTTATACGGCCGACTTCGGGAGCTCAGTTCAGACTAACTAGGGCCTGTTTGATTCACTGGATTTCTAAAATGTAGGAATAAGAAGAACAAAAACTATCAACTTCATCCTAATCCTCGGTTAGTGAGTAGTAACATGTTTGATTGTTTGATCGATTATGGGAATCCATGAAAGTTACTTAGGCACTCCACGTCCTAGCTTAGCTACGAACTTGATTAAAAGATGATTGGCCGGTGAACTTACGTGTAGGGGGTGGATCCCATGTCAGGAGGAAGCCATCGCTGATGAGCTGCTCGAAGTGGCTCGCGTTCGCCGAGCCCGACGAGCCCATCACCGGCACGACGATAGCATCACAGCCCTCCAAGGCGTAGCCGCCGTAGTTCCCCATCTCATCGAAACGCACTCCCGCGCGAACAAACACGTTGCTCGCGTTTGCGCATCTCACCTCCACCAGGGCCACCCTCTTCGTGCACTTGTACAAGATGATGTTCAGGTTGGCAGGGTTGACCTTAAACGGCACTGCCAGCTTGCTGGAGGTGTTCCAATTGGGGAAATTGCAGGTGCCGTTGGTGACGTTGAAGTCTTCTTCTTTGTGTACATCAATGACACGCAGATTGCGGTCCTCGTACGAGATGTCCATGATCGCAAAGCCAGTGAATCCAGAGCTCCGGAGAAATGAAATGTTGTTGTTTGAGCAACTGACCTCAAAATCCAAGGGACCACACGATCTTCCCGCCTCCCTGTCAGCGAGCCAGAACGGGTGGGAGATGGTGAGGTTGCCGCACGTCTTGGCAGAGCTCGAGCAGCCTTCCCCTTCCTGCTCCTCAGCACCAGCGACCGTCAGTGGCATCTCCCATGCTACTACCCAGACGAACACCAAGAACCAGCAGCTGGTAGTAGCCATAGGAGCAGAAAGATTTGGCCGTGGGGCGGTGGAGAAATGTGTATGAGAGGATATCGTGGTTGAAGAAAGATATATGTGGACGGATCCTATGGTGGTACGAACGAGTGACTGGAAAATCGGGGCTAAGCTATCGTCATCCACGAATTCCCTCAACCACCGCTTGGACTTGTAGGCCATGGTTTCTGAATTTCTAATCCTAACACCATTGACGGGTAAGCCATCAACATGACCTCTGTGTGCCCGCGATGTGACATGAACCTGGATGCTTATAGGCTGTTTGTTTCCATACCAGCTACTCATGCTTTTGTCAGCTATCTAAATACAAGATCCCTTTGACCCTTTATCAAGGAAAATTTAGATAAAATACCAGATTCTAATATCTGTACAACATTCAGACTTTCAGTATCCGATGAAAAAGAAGATCATTTATTGGGTTATTGGTTTGTGCAAGTTAAAGAATATGTGTGTAAAGATCACATATTCACGTACTTTGTCTTTCAAGTACATCTTGTTCATGGATTCCTGGATCATGATAGGTGTGTAAAGATCACATTTTTCAGGGAAAACAAAAACTACCCTCCATCTCAGGCGAGGCCATGCACGGAGTGCGCCTGATATGGGCTGGCAGCATCGCAGCCTTCTCAGAATTGAGGGGAGTAAACCAAGGGTGCGTCTCACGGTGATGTTACAGGACACACAGATTAGCAGCGAGTAACCTCGCTGGAGTTGGTTGGAGCATATAGATCAACGGTGCCTGACAGAAATACTACATTATGCGGGAGGTCGCTTGCCAACGAGCACGAGAACAAAACGAGATGAGATGGAGAAGGGGAGACAGTGGCATGTTGCATCTCAGCCAATGGCGGAGCCAGGATGGGCTGATGACCAGGGTGAAAAACAAAGGGCCGAAAACCCAGTTTCAAGGTATGTTTTCAGCTCTTGGTTGCTTAAACAGAAAACAATAAAAGCAAAATGCTGCTTTTTTTTCAATGTTATATTCCAACTAGACGCGATGCTCATTGTACCAATAATCAATATCACTGGGCTTGAGTTGGACTAATACGAGTGATATTATCAGTTGTTCGAGTTGAAGGACTCGTTTCCGTGGATCCCTTGGTTTGAACTTAAAAAGAAAATGTTATTGTCTTGTTTCGTTTTTGTTTATTCATCTTACGTTCACGTAAAGTTGTAAAATTATATAGATTTTTTTTACTAAATGTCTAAATCGGTTTCCATGTTTATGTTGCAAATGGGGAAGCACAAACAAGAATTAAATATCATCATCATTCATCAAACAGAGGCATCTAAGCAAGCAACAATGAGATTTGGAAGAGGTGAGATGGCAGTTTTGTGGGATGGCCGGATGGGGGAATACCTCCGTGCAACGGCGGAGCTGGGGCCCTGAGGCGGAAGAACGAAGGGACCGGGGTGGGCTGCTCCTGGCCTCCTGCGGTCCTGCCTCCTGGCAAAGGCCGCCTCGCCCGGCATCCTGCCGCCTCCCGGGGTTCGCCGCCTCGACGAACATGTCCACAGCCAAGGAGAAGGGGATCGAAGGGGAGCACGACCGCACGAGCACGACGGCGGGCGGCGGCGGCCTGGCCGGCAGGGTAGGGTTGGCAAACGATAGCTTCTCGGTCGCTAGGTGGTATTGGGCCAGCCTTCTCAGACCTGAGGCCCAGCTAGAGGATTAGGAGGAGTGGGCTGCGCCCCAGGCCGATCTAATTTTTCAAACTATGGGCTTAAATTTTTCTGATGGCCCAGACCATTGCCTGGGCTGCCTGGAGGGGACCCCAGCGCCTCAACAACGGCATTCCGGCAGGCCAAACTGCCTCTTCCATAGCATCGACTGGCTCCCTCTCCTCCAACGTGACGTCGGCACTGCATCTCCTCCGCAGTCCACGGCGGTGGCAGCGCGGCTCTCCTACACAGCAGCATGACGCTTGCTTTCCTCCGCCTCGGCACCGGTCTAGCGGGATAAGTGTCGGCAAATGCGCTTAAAGCAGGATGTATTCTCCTCTCTTTGTTCCTCCTAGATGGAGATAGAGGGAGCTCCTAAGTGGCGCCGCTCACGCGCCCCCTGTTCTGGGCCGGCCCTACTCGATTGCTTCAACCGCCACCTCCCAGATCGCTCTAGCGGGTCGCTTCACCGCCCCACTGCTGCCAGATCGCTCGAGTGGCACAGTACAGGACCAGCCCCTCAAAAAAACTAGTCGTGGTTGGCCAGTTGACTGGTTAACCGGACTTTTAAAAAAATATGATTAAAAAATAAAAATTGTGAATTCGAAATTGTTTATGGATTTTTATTCTTTTTAGCAAACTTCAAAAACGTTCATCGAACTTGAAAAAAGGTCATTGAACTTGAAAAAAAGTTCACCAAATTTGAAAATGTTCAACAAATTTGTAAAAATTCATCATTTTACTTAAAGTTCATCAAATTTGTAGAAAATGTTCGTCCATTTTTAAAAAAGTGTTCATAAATTTCGGAAAAAGTTCAACAAATTTGAAAATAATTCATCAATTTTGAAAAAAACGTTCATCGGATTTGCAAAAAAGTTCATCGATTTTGAAAAAAAATCACGAATTCAAGAAAGGTTCACAAAAAAAGTTCATCAAATTTGAGAAACGTTCATCGGATTTGCAAAAAGTTTATGGATTTTGGAAAAAGTTCACGAATTCAAAAAAGGTTCACAAAAAAAAGTTCATCAAATTTGAGAAACGTTCATCAGATTTGCAAAAAATTTATCGATTTTGAAAAAAGTCCATGAATTCAAAAAAGGTTCACAAAAAAATGTTCGCGAAATCGAAAAAGGTTCACAAAATAGAAAAAAGAACAAACAGAAGAAAACTGGCGAAAAAAAGAAAGAAAAGAAAACAGGTTCACGTTCTTTATTTGAAGAACTGTGAAAGATGCTCTCAATTGCCAAAGGATGTTGACCCCGGTGGTTACTGCGCAGGTAAGGAGACTGTGTGGTGAAGGGTTCGAATCCTCCCCTGTGCACCTTTTTTTGAAAGAATTTCGAGTAGAAGGAAAAAAAAGGGTAAGACGGGCCAGCCCAGTGCGATCTTAATTGATAGCTAATTAGAAGTTGGACTAGTACAAATACTTAATTAGTAGGAAAAACAAAATTATCCTTCGTAGCTTTTAACTCCACACAAATTTCTTTCTCTATAGGGGAGAAGTCCATTTCAAACCTAGAGTTCACACATTTATTGGGATTATTAGCATTTGCAACGTGCTACTTGGTTGAGTTAGAGATTATGAATTTCCAAGAACGTATTTTTAGGGCTTAAATTCTTTTATTCAAACGGCTATCTAAAAACGCGTAGAATCTAAATGCTTAATATATTTTATTCAAGCTTATGGATTGAGTTTTTTTTAGTAGCTACTGTTCTTAAGCTATGCGCGGGAGCTAGTTGTGGTCCTTTTTTTTGTGTGTGTTTGTTTGTTTCAGTGTCCTTGTAAGCTTGAACCTGCCGGTCGTTTGGCCAGCTGAACCCTCTCTTGTTATTAATATATTACATGCAGTTCTTCTGCATGGATCAAAAAAGAAGTATTGAGCTTTTTTTTAAGGGTAAGAAGTATGGAGCTAATGTCAAAGATAATATTCTCACCTTTTTTTTTGAGACAAGATAATATTCTCACCTGATGGCCAATAGCTCAATACCTATCATTGTGGGCCGAAGAGATGTAATTCAGCCGAAAGTCCTATTAGTATATAGATATGGGCTTAACAGGCCGTACGTCCGAAAGTGTATGGAGGACTGGGCTCTGACTGGACTGAACAAGTGCAGCATGCGAATTTGGGCCGCAGTGCTAAAAAAAACAAGATTCAGAGTTTTTTTTCTCTACGTTCAGAAGCCACTTGTTGTATACCCAGTTCCACTTGTCCAATGACGCGTTCATAAAATAAAACTTGTCCAATGGTACACGCGTCTACGTACCTACTTTTTTTTAGATAAGTATACCGTACCTACTTTTTTTTAGATAAGTATACACGTACCTACTTTTTTTTTAGATAAGTGTACACGCACCTACTGACCGCACTCGTTTACATGCCCACCACAAACCGAATCTTCTGGCAGCTACGTACTAGACCTAATACTTGATTCTGTCTTCAAATTTCAATGGACAAACTGCACTAATAACTAGTGCTGTCGCCCCTCTGCTCCCACCGAGATCGAGTAAACCTTGGAACGAAATGCGTAAAAGTTGGGTAAAACCTTGGAACGAACGGAGAAAGGAGACGACCGCGCGCGCGCGTTTAGCGGACGATCTCTCGTGCCGGCGCACAGCAATCCACCAGTCAACCGTCAATGGCGCCGCCACCAGCGATGTACTCAGCGTGTTATTAGCCGGTCAGCCGCCTGAATATCTACCGGGGGAGAAGAAGAAAAGCCAACGGTGAAATCTTCCAGGGGCCTACGGAAGATCGGGACGGCAATGCATGGCTGGCTAGCGCGACGACAATACGGCACCATGCGGCGGAAATGCAACGAACCAGGGAGGAAGATCAGACTAATAATCAAACGCGCACGTGCCAATACCGCTATCCGCGTCGGCGCCCGCTGATTGGTACAGTAGAGTAGAGAGTAGAGGCAAGCAAGTGGCGGCGTGGGCGAACTCATCGGCGCATGTGGAGCCGCGCAGCTTCCCGCCGGGGCAGAGGCAGGCCAACGCCCCGATCGCGTTCCTGTACCGGCACTGGCCCCCGCTGGCGACGCAGGCGGGGCAGTCGCCGATGCCGCCGGTGCCCGCCCAGTCCAGCAGGAACCCGGCCTTGAGGAGACTGCTGTAGTTGGCCGCCGTCGACACCGCCGCCTCCGAGCCGAGCACCGGGAGGTACGTGTACGTGCAGTTCCCCGTCTGAATCGACGGCGGCGTGTCCCGGTCGTACCTCCCGCCAAGGTAGGCGAAGATGGGTCTATCGCAGGTGGCGGTGGCGTTCGCATACCCGCGCCCGCCCGGCTCCGTCCCGTTGCAGTCGAAGAGGAGGCACAGGGCCATGTTGCTTGGGCTGATGTTGAACGGGCTGAGGGCCAGGCTGGACGACATGTTGAAGTCGGCGCGGCACACGCCGTCCACCCGCCCGGAGAATCTGCTGTGAGAGGCCACGAGGGAGCTGGCGCCGTAGTCGATGCTGAGGACCTGGATGGCGGAGCCACGCATGGACGCCGAGGCGTTGCCGCCGCCACACCAGAGCTCGAAGGCAGGATGGCCACAGGACGGCTCCGGCGGGGGGTGGCTGGGCGCGCCGAGCCAGAACGGGTACTTGATGGTGAAGTTGCCGCACGCCACCGGCTCGCACTCGGCGTCCACCACATGCACATGGTGAAGGAGGAAGAGGAGGAGGAGCGAGGCCGGGAGGCTGACCACGGCCGGAGGCAAGGGATGCGCCGCAGCCATCTAGATTTCTAGAGTGGATGATGTGTGCTGCATGTGTCTCTGGTTGGGATGCGAAACAATGGAGTCTTTGGTGGGAGGATGTAGAAGCTAGCTAGGTGGACGAAAGGGGAAATGCCAATGGTGTGTGCCTTTGTTTGACTGCTCTTTTTCTATACATTGGACTTTCTTTTATCAACAGGACTGGGAAAACCGGTGCTGCCTCCTGACTTTTGAGGGCTGACAGGGGAAAAGAAAGCTCCACCTTGTGTGGTTCTAACAGTGTTATTTTCGAGCTGCATATGTGGTTCCAAATTTGTGATTGCGATGTGTATGTTGCCGGTAATTTAATTCCGGGGTTTATGTCATATGTGCCGGCCGGCCTGCCGCATATGTGGACAACTCCTCCATCATGTGACTGTGATGAGCTATTACTAGTGAAAGGTTGGTGATGTTTGTGATCAGGAGGAAGGTAGAAGAAAGTCATGGATTAGTTTGTAGGTGGATGGAACTACCTTATCCCAAAAGCATCACATCAGGATAAATTTGGGGCAGTGTTCTTTTGCGATAATCATACTTAAGTTTTTTTTTGGGTAGCAACTAAAGCTTATTCATCTACCAAATGACGGGCGACTATGTGTTCTTCCAATTTCGGCTGATTTCATGAATTTCGGTGAGATCTTGATAAAATGTTGCATGGAATTTCATCACTAAAGGTTGAAGACGCATTTCTAAATAGTTTTTCAAATTTCGAAACATCCTTAGGTTCCAGAATTCCACCCAAACCAAAACAATAAACCTTGGGAAAATAGCCGACTATACCCGACAACTAACATTTGTGTTAGCAACATTTTGACTGATTGTACTTGAAACCTTTGATGTATAAAGCTCTCTAAGTTCAACGCAAAAACAAGTACACCGCCTTAGAAGGCATAAGGGAGAAAAGGGACGACCCCACACAATGGTTGAATTAGGCCGTCGTTGGGTCCCGGACTATTATTGTCTTCGTCTCTAACCTCGCACACTTGTCGGACAATCTCTTGTATCGAACAACCCCTGATTATGTGGGTGTGAAGTGGAAAAATCCCGTTCTAGCTGGCAGCGGGCATAGGACTGAAAATCCTCTATAATGTCAATGACCATAATAGACCACCCAATGCCACCCCAACGATGTATTTAGCGTCTTAGGAGAATATCACCCGCATGTGAATATCGGGACAACACTGGTTGGCTATCGTGCGTTTGCTATGTATCACCCGTAGCGAAGGATATAGTGTACTTGCTACGAATTGCGTGCTCCTGCACTTATTTGCGCTTATGTTTTTTTTGTCTAATACTGTACTGCTAGGTGCAATTTTTTTTTCTTTTCTGCTTTTCTACAGGAGATCATACGTAGCAGTTTTATGTAAAAGTCAAAAACACTTCTTAATTACTAAACTTTTACATTCCCGAACAATTTTCTAATTCATAGTTTTATTAAACTTTTTACTTTTTTCAGTTTCAGTTTTATGAAAAATCAGGAACTGATCTTTTTTAAAACTCGTAATTTTTTGTCATAAGGACATTATTCAAAATATTTGAAATTTACTCCCTCCGTCCCATAATGTAAGACGTTTTTTGTCCCATAATGTAAGACGTTTTTTGAGTCCCATAATGTTTTTCTTACATTATGGGAAGGAGGGAGTATAGTTTTTTCGTATATTATTTAAATTACGAAATTATATTGAAAAAAACTAATATTTCTATTCAATATTTTTTCATAATATTTACATTTTTAAAAATGGAAATGTTTTCTAATTTTTTTGAGCATTTTTACTTGAAAATCCATACATTGTTTATAAATTCACGAATATTTTCTAATCTGGCCATAAAAAACATAGATTTTTTATTAGGGAATAAACGACAGCCAATATTTCTCTAAGCCACATCTGCAGGGTTTTTTGAATATCGAGCGGAAAAAAATCACCTGTACGCGTGCTAGCCAGGTTACCTAATTAGGAATATTGGGCTGCAGCCCACATATCCTGCGTGGGCGATTTGCCTTCTATTCAGCCCACATATCCTGCGTGGGTTTTTTTTCAATTCTAAAAAAAAGGACTAGTGCAACGCTGGTATACTGCGAAAGTGCAGTGAACAAAGGAAAATCAAACAAAGCATGTACTACGTGCCCATATATAGGCAAAGTGGCAGCGTTGCATGTCGTACTTACCGGCGCATGTGGAGCCGCGAAGCTCCCCCTCGCCGGGGCAGAGGCAGCCGAACGCCGCCGTCGCGTTGCTGTACCGGCACTGCCCGCCGCTGGCGCCGCAGGCTACGCAGTCGCCAAAGCCGATGCCCGCCCACTGCAGCTGGAACCCGGCCTTCAGAAGCCGGGTGTAGTCTGCAGCCGTCGTGGCCGGCGTTGCCGCCACCTCCGACGCGAGCGCCGGCAGGTACGAGTACGTGCAGCTCGCCGGGATCGTCGGCATCGTGTCCCGGTCGTAGACTCCGCCGAGGCACGCATAGGCAGGTCTACCGCAGCCGGCGGTGGCGTTCACGAAGCCGCGCCCGATGGGCTCCGTCCCGTTGCAGTCGTGCAGGAAGTAGAGGGCACGGCTGCCTGGGCTGACCCTGAAGGGGCTGAGGGCTAGGCTGGAGGAGACGTTGAAGTCGGCGCGGCACACGGAGGCGCCCGCGGCGGCCAGCCTGCTGTCGGTGGCCACCAAGGTGTTGCGGCCGTAGTCAATGCTGAGGACTTGGATGGCGGAGCTCCTCATGGAGGCCGTGAATGCGCTGCCGTGGCCGCCGCTGCACCAGAGCTGGAGAGCCGGGTGGCCGCAGGAGGGCTCCGGCGTGGGGCGGTTGGGGGCGCCCAGCCAAAAGGGGTACCTGATGGTGAGGTTCCCGCACGCCGCCGGCTCGCACTCGGCGTCCACCGCCCCACGGACAAGGAGCAGGAAGGAGGACAACAGTAGCGGGAGGATGAGCACGGCCGGAGGCATCATGCAAGCGCGCATCTAGCTAGCTTGTCAATGGCAGATGGGTGGTGTCTGTGTCTCTACTTGCGAGTGTGAAGCAATGGAGTCATCGGAGGGAAGATGTAGAAACGAACGGTGTGGTTTGTTTGACTAGTCTTTCATGCATGTCTGACTTTCTTTTTGAAATTGTGTTTTTTAATTCTGGCGAAAATCAACGTGAAATTTTAAAGGTCTAAAAAAATGACACAGCTAGAGGACCGGAGGCTGCTAACCAGCCCCCTTTTGGACTTCTTTCGATTTGACTAAGTTTTCAAATGCCACATTTTCAGCCAGTTTGGGATTTTGATTTGGGTTTATATATGATCAAGATAGAATATTTCTTCATGTATGATGCCCGTCAGAAGAATTGTGTGCGGGATAAAGCAAAAACAACTGATCCATCACTAATGCATGTACTTTATATTCCTTGTGAAGGGGACTAAGAGTATCTCCGGCAGTTCTCGCGAAAACCTCCCCTACAAGCGTGTTTAGGGCTTCTTTCAATAAATTTGTTGGATGTCAAAGGTGTACGGGACATGAAAATTCAGGCGGTTGACTATCGTCAACGGCAAATGAGTTAGAGGGAAACTTACACCTCTTCCTCTTTATGAGGGGAGATGAGGTGTTTTTAAGGAGAGATCCAGAAATTTTTCGGCCACCTTGTAAACTCGAGCTGCCGGCGCTCCTCGACGATGAGCTCTAGATGCAGCCGACGAAGCTCGACCCTGTACTCTTTATCGCCGCGCGCCGCCTCAAGTCCCTTAAATGGCCTCCTGATTCTCCCACAACTCATAGCAGGAGACCACTCGGGGGTCAATCTCGACCGGCGCCGAGACCTCGTCACTGCCTATGGGGAAGTTGATGTCCGCCCGACTATCGTAGAGACTCACTGCCTTCTTGTCACACGCCCTCACCACGTACTCCGCTGACCGGAAGGAGCCAGGCTAGTATCATCGGCTGGTGTCCACGTCCATTTCGACACCCACGCCCCCACGACTGCAGCTGCATGCCGTGATACTTATTCTTCAGCGGCGACAACAGTGGTAGGTTGGTGGTGAGGGAGCGAGACGGCGGAGCCGCCACGTGATGTCGGGTCGGCGGTGTGATGCGGCGTGGATCCGCGTTTGGAGTCGGTGGGGGTGACCTCCGACGGCTAGATCCCGCCATTTCAGGACGGCGCCGACCGATTGGAAGCATTGACGGAGGCACGAGGGTGGCTGCGGTGCAGGTGAGGGGGAGAGGGTGCGGGGTGGATTTGGGCAGCGTCAGCATAGATGTGCTGCGAGAGAGCGAGAATAGCGGAGTGGCAGGAAGGGTATTTTTTTTCCGAGAAGCGACGCTACTCGAGTAAATTTAAGCGGCGGCCGAGGGGATGATTTTTTTATGGGCTAAAGCCGATAAAGGGTCATTAGGTCCGATTTTACCTTGAAAACCAAAATTTATGCTAACTAATTTTGAGAGATCGGGTAGCGACTTAATGTATAGATCAACCGATGTACATTCCTTCCAAAGAAAATGTCTCTGTTATTCGCAAAAAAAAAGTCTCTGTTGGAAATCGTGACGCTGACTTTGCTGGTCAAAATTATGGATGATCTGGGTATGTTATCCTACCACTTCGGCTGCTATGGAGGGAAAACTCAAGTCAACAGATTAACCAGTCAATCGGTAACACTGGCCCGTTCAAGCTAATCTTATTTATCACCACACTGCTAAGCATGCAAGGTACTGAAAGACCAGAAAATAACAATCTGCGGAAGAAACTATAACAGGCACTCGAATCGCATTCGCATGGAGAATCAGGGGATGTGTCGAGCAACTCACCGTAGTCACCGCACGTGGCCGGGTGCATGCGGCCGCCGGGGCAGAGGCACCCGAACGCGTTGGCGCCGGGCTCGTACCGGCACCCCCCGCCGGTTGCGGCGCACGCGGCGCAGTCCCCGGGCACCGCCCACTCAAGCAGGAACCCGCGCCTGACCATCCCCGCGTAGTCACCCCACGCCCGCAGCTCCGACCCGGGCAGCACCGGGACGACCGAGTACTTGCACTCCGCTGGCCCCGCCGGCCGGGCCTCGTACCTCCGTCCGATGTGCATGGACCACGCGCCGCTGACTGTGCCGGAGCAGTTGTTAAGCCAGAGCGACCCCGCGGGCGGCGGCGGCGCGCGCGAGCAGTTGTTGCAGAAGAAGAGCTCCCAGTTGGCGCCGCTGACGGCCAGCGGCGACAGCGCGAGGCTGCTGGACACGTTAAACCGCGTGGCGCGGCAGGGGTTGTCGCTGGCGGCGACGAGGCTGCTGTGGTAGGCCACGACGGAGCGGTTGCCGTAGGTGATGTCCAGGAGGCGGAGGTAGGACTCGCTGAGGGTGGGCGCCGTGGCGCCGGTGGGGTCGTCGCAGGTGACGCCGAAGGTCGGGTAGCCGCAGTTGCGTTCGTGGTGGCCACGCAGCCAGAACGGGTACGTGATGGTCAGGCCGCCGCACGCCGCCGGCGCCGGCGCGCAGCTCGCGTCCAGCGGCTGCGCGCGGGCGCCAAGCAGAGGCGTGAACAATAGTAGCACGAGCAGCATCTCGGATCGAATGGCGAAACAGGAGGATATTTTTGGGGTATTTTATGATTGGGTGAATGAGACTGGATCGTACTAGTAATTTGTAAGCGGCAGGGGGTGGTCGTCCATGGACGAGGAGGTAGCGGGCGAAGGGAGCAGCCGATTTGTGCGACATTTTGGGCGCTTGATTACGGAGGCTACAGAGGTTGGTCAATGCTAGAACTTGGGAAGATGGTCTTGATCGATCCTCGCGGCGTTATTTTGCTATATTTTCGAATGACTTTCTTGCATGCATGCGAAAATCGGGAGCGGAACGTGTCTCAGATACTAACTGCAAAGATTTTTTGAAGGATGCAACGCCAGCGGGGAAGGTTTTCCAATTTAAGCTGAATACTCCCTTCGTTCCTGAATATAACTTTTTTTTAAGATTTTACTATGAACTACGTACAAAGCAAAATGAGTGGTATATACTTCTTCGTCCGGAAATACTTGTCCTAAAAATAAATAAAATAGATATATCTATAACTAAAATAAGTCTAGATACAGCCATTTTTAGGACAAATATTTTCGAATGAAGGGAGTATGTAGTTTGTAGTGGAATCTTTAAAAAAAACTTATATTTAGGAACGGAAGCAAGGAAAAGAAGTGGTATGCTCTGCTTAAAATTGACACTAGGACATGGAATGCAGGACTGGGCTGAATTTGCTAGTAGTACACAGGGATTGTGGTGGGCGTATCTGAAAATTCAAATTCATTTCTTGCATTAAATCTTGACACGAAACTCTTTTCGTCGGAAAAAAAGCTTGTTTTTTAAATGGATGTACTAGCCTTAAATGAATGTATTTAGCATCAAGTGCAGCTATCATTTGAGGAACGAATTTTTTCAGACGAAGGGAGTATCGCATATCATACATATCTCACTGGGTGACAATTATTACCAGACAAAAAGAGGGGACTGGAGTACTAATAGCAAGAAGACTAAACTGCTGCCAAATTGGGAAACGACCACCAAACCCGTAGAGAAACGAAATAATAATTGAGCTAAGTGCACTTGTTACTTTCAAAGAAAGTGGATATGTCACTTGCTCCGGGGACTTTGCATCGAACAAGATGCACACATCCCAAGTCATCAATAGGCCATCTAAAATTGCGTCACCACTTGATTTGCTAGTGCAACCAAAATTTTGGTCACCTTTGATATGATTTTACACGACTATATAATCACATGAGAGGGAAGAGAAAACAAAATGTATAGATGAGCGTTACCATGTCAACCCATATATTTACACACAATAGCTACTTGTAAGTCATCTGAAAATAGTCGATTTTGGAAGGAAGCAGCCGTCAGAAGGAAAGAAGAATCAGTCACTGGCTTGCCAGAGAAGCCCTCTGGGTCTCTCTTAGGATGGCAGGTGATCCTGTTA